GTGGCATTTGGTTACCAGAAAACACGCTCATCTCTTAGCAACAGATTAACAACAAATATTATTATTGTTCAAAAAACACAAGATTTCCTCTGCTCTTTTGAAATGCTACTTATCTTATGATAAGAATTGTGCAACTGGTGAATCTTGCACGAAAGTGAGAATGTTTTTTCTCTTTGATCATTGACGGTAAATATATTATAAAACAGACATTCAAAATCTGATTTCTACTTTGTGGCTGTTTGTTATCAGAAAACCCCCCAACAAAAACGCTCATCTCTTAATACCAAATTAATAACAAGTAATGTTATTGTTTATAAAACTAAAATTATTTTGAAATACTGCTTCTCGCAGACGCAACAAATTTAGAGTTGGTAAGTTTTACAAAAGTAAAACTCTCTGTAGTTCTCTACCTCTCTTCAATTTCTATGGTAATTAATCCTCTCTGAAAACTGTCGTGTGAGTGAAACACAAAGGGGCAGACTAAAAAAATGTCTCCTTTTTGAGTGTGACTGACAGAAAACAGTGTCAGATATTATTAGTTAGAATTTGTTTTGATTTGAATTTGACTCGTTTTTAGCTTTGCACTTCACCAAGAAAAGTAACGATGCCCCTAACGGATCGTGCCTTACATGTTAAAATGTATATTGTGCAGTATGAGCTGCATTAACGGTGAAAGGAAGCGCTAGTTATCTTAAGGTGTAGGATAATAGGTGCCTCTCACGGTTGTAAGAAACTGAGCCTGTTTAATTTTCCTTCTAAGCCTGTGTATCTGTTCAACTAGGGTTATCTCCCGGAGAGCATGTTTGACCGGATTCTGACTGGACCCATCGTTCCTGAGGAGGTGAGCCGACGAGGACGCCGACCGAAGAATCCCCTGGCCAAGGCAGCGGTGGCTGCAGCGGCACCCAGCTCTGCACCCTCCGCCCTGGGTTTAAATTCCCTGCTGGCTAACGGTCTCCTCTCTGGCATGGACCTCGGCAGCCTGCAGGCCTTCCAGCAAAACCTCCAAAGTTTACAGTCCCTGCAGCTCACTGCAGGCCTCATGGGACTGCCGCCAGATGCCAGCAACCTGGCCGCGAGCAATCTCGCCGCCATGTTTCCCATGATGCTTTCTGGTATGGCCGGATTGCCAAACCTGCTCGGCATGAGCGGCATGGTTGGAAAGCCTACTCAGGACACTGCGGGAGGTTCTGAAGAGAAGACGAAGGGAACTGACAGCAGCGGAACATGCGAGCCGCCTAATACCCCCTCTAACACTTCGGAAACCAAAGGAGAAAGGACAGAGGACGTAAACACGACTCCTTCCTCCACTTCCAGTTCTGCTTCCTCTGCCACTGTCACACCAAGTGCTTCAGCTGCCTCTGCAGCCACCAGTCACCCACTCTCTCTTAACCCCTTGTTACTCTCCAGTATGCTTTACCCAGGGATGCTTCTCACTCCAGGCCTTAACCTTCCTGTGTCTGCCACACAGCCGCAGAGCTCAAACAGTGACCCTTCAACCCTTGCATCTGCTGCTGCTCCTCTTCTGTCTGCTCCCGCAGCCTCCCAGTCCTCCCTGACTGAAATGGAGCAGCCGTCAGGAAAAGAGGAAGAGGAGGAGGAAGAGGCGCCTGAGGAGGCTTTGGACGACGAGGAAGAGGATGACGAGGAATCTGCAGAACCGAGAGAAAACAGCGGCCCTGAAGGTTCAGCAAAAGCCGAGTCATCTTCGTCGGAGTCCGGGAGCTCTTCCTCATCCTCTGATGATTCGGACTCCAGTGACGAGGACTGAACCTATGAACAGAAAATGAAAAATTTATTTATGTATTGCCTAGAAATGTAGACATTTATTCACATATATATGGATTTTCCAGCACTTATGTTGCGATTTCTTTACTTGTAAATACAAGAACTAACTACGTTGTGTAAAAAAAGACTGTAAAAACCTTTAAAAAAACTGACTTAAAGGAGCCAGAAAAAAATGTCCATGTCTATTCACAAGGTACAGTCCTGTATTGAGACATTTTGCATGTCAGACTTTGGTAGACTTTCTGAACTCTGTGAACTTGTACCACCCGATTATGTACAATTGCAACAGAAGAAAAGGCATTATTGTAATTATGTCAGGATTAATTTTATTAAAAAAAAAAAAAATGAAACTACATCAACTTGCTCGTTGAGCAGTACTATTAATATATTTTGATTGTTTGGGGAGGGGAGGGTTGACACTTTTCAAACACTTTGGTTTCACTTGTAAAATAGCCAGTACATTTGCAGGTTTGTTGACACTTTGGCTTTGCAGATGGATGTTGGATAATGTCAGCAATAACCTGGGCAGCTAATGAATGTCACTGAAGCTGTAGATTCTCTCATCTGCCATGTTTCCACCCCCAGTTCACAACTCATTCATCCCATCCCTTCCCTTCTTTTTTCTTATTCAGGGTAGAGACAGGATTACATATTGAGTGGGAAATGTGGAATGTTAACAATCAGAAATAATTTGACAATAGAACATTTATTTGCCTACTCCCTAGGAAAGACACATTTTACTTTGCAGTTCCTTAAGTAAGGCGCGAATATTCACTTGTGTAATTGATAGTTGACATGATCAGCTATTGACAGAAATTCAGTTTCTACTGTGTGCCAAAAAACTGCCCTCAGATGTCCTGAAAGTGTTGTGGATATTATTCCTTAGATCCCATTGTATTTGACTGCCTCTTTACCTCAGCTTTGCGAAAAGAGTTGACTTCACTGTGCAGATGTACATATGCATGTCTGTCTGTTTCTCCTGGACTGTGCGTGGATGTGTGTCAGAAGCCAAGTTTCCCCATCTCCTTTGTGACTATGTTATGTCGTTTCTCCCTCCACGGCCCCGTAACTCCTGCTTCCAGAACTTTTCCAGTCTGAATGTTTTTGTGTTTTTGGAGCTTCACTAGTTTTGACTTGTGAACACCCGCATTACAAGTGTTCTTTTATCTTCAAACATGCCTCTTCAGGACTCTGAAGGAAGTCTAATGTGTTGCATGACAGCCTGTGGTGTTAAAAATACAAGTGCCACAAGCACAACATGGATCAATCCTGTTTAAGACTGTATTGATTGTTCATGATAGCTGAGTATTAAAGTCAGCATTGGGTGGGTTTGCTTCAGGAAGGGCTTGATCATTTCAATTTGCTTTGCTGGGAGTCTGCAGCTTTGTCTCATTTTATCATTCACAAATCTGTTTTGCTGACAAACTGAGCTTCAGCTAGATGTAGAAGTGCCCTTATCCTGCACCTCATCCTCTCCTAGAGCTGCTCACTCACCATGCTTGTGTGTTTCCTTCAGCTTTCCCCGCGCACATTCATTTTAGAGCTGTAACCGGGTTACACATAAACACTGGACTACACTCGAGCCGAAGTACCTTTTTGTAATCTTCTCTGGCACAACAGTGCTTGCTCTAGGACTGCTGTTACACCGTTGACTGTTAGATATTTCCGAGGAGAAGGGCCCCCTGGATAAACTGTTGAATTCCTAAGTATCTGTAGCACCTCTCTTTCTCTTTCTCCAGTGGGCTTAATGATAATAATAAGTAAAAAAAAATTTGCGAGGTCTGAACACAAAGACTGAAGACACCTCTGTTTTCTAATGTTGCTTTAAAGTGGTTTTCTTGTATGCCTGCTCTATATAGACCTCATCATGGTTTGCTTTCAATGCAACTTGCATTTTTTAATGATTACTAACAGTATGGTATTTTTCTATGTCTGAGCAAAACATACCACTGTCATTTTGTATATCTACACCTCTGCTCTGTTTTAACTGGTAGTGCCCTTATGCAAACACCCAGCCACTGCTCCGTCTGCTGTAAGCCACTGATCGAATGATTATTTGTCGCCCCTCAGCGACGCCTCAGTGAATTGATTTGTGTGCTAGGGCTTGAAACAACAGAAGTGGGAACGCAAAAGGACTCGAATTGGAAATGTTTGAGTTCATAATGTGGCTTGACGCAAGTAAACAGAGACCAATATGCAAGGGGAGTGACAAAACACTACTGCTGTAAAAGGAGGACACAATGAGCAAACGTGGGTTTTGTATTTTTGGTTCAAGCTTGATAAGACCGTAAAATGTCACCTTGGTCAGTTTGTCTTTATTTTTCTCATTGGAAAGTTGTAATTCTTGCAAGATGTGGTCTGTGTAGTCAAAATAATTATTGTAGTGCAGGAAAATGCGTCTTAAAGTAATTTGTAATTTATTGGATTACTTTCTATGAAGTTCTATAGAGGAAATTGAGGTTTAATTATTTTTATTAAACATATTCTTCTGACTATTCATCCCATGTGCCTGTGCTTTTTGCTTTGCCTGATGGCTTTTTATTAATGAGTTCAGTTCTTACAGGAACTTATGGATTTCCAATTGTCTGTTTTCTTCTTCCAATGTCTCTTGAAGTAATTTTAAAAAAAGCCTAAATCATCATTCAGTCATTTGTAGTAATTCCAAGGCTTATTTAATGTTTCTGTTTTTTCCTTATTTTAATGCAAACATGAATGAGCATATTTATTCATTCAAAATTAGTCGTATACTTTGCCATTTATTTTTCTAATGCATCTCCACAATTATTAATGATCATAGTGGTAACTGTGATTCTTGTAGCCTCAATTTAAACAGCTTTTTTCACAGTTAATAAATGGCAGCAAAAATGATTTGTCTAGTGACAGCTGTTCATTTAAATAGTTTTATAATTTTTGTTAAAAATTGTTACATGCCAAACAGTTTACCAGATCCTATATAGATTAATTGATCTATCTTCGATCTATCTGAACATGTAAAATGACTTTATAATCATCTCAACCTATTTTAATACCATTTGCATTTTTTATTATTGACTTTGATTTTATTGCACCAAATGTCCCAGAAGTTGTTTTCACTCCCATCCAATCCCTAGTCTTATATGTTCTCCTTTTAAAAGGGGGCGAGGCCATTCCGCTAAATACCCGGATGTGTTCTTGTTCCACGTGCATCTCCCTGATATTTCCCGCGCTCACATGCATTTCCGCAGTCAGCTGACAGGAAGGCTTGTTGCGTTATGAAGTACGGTAAGTCTAAGAAAACCTTACATTGTTTGCTGCGTGATTACATTTGTTAATTAAGCGTAAGAACTTGTTATAGTTGTCTAACAATGTGTCATAGTTAAGATGAGTTATTATTGTTCAGTCACAGCTTAAGTGTATCAACCAGTTAAAAGTCCAGGACTTTAAATGGGAAAATGCTTCTTTTAGAAAGTAAAGGGGGAAAAAAAGCCAGAGGTGACTCTTTCTGTCGTAACACCGTCATAACCCGTCCATCTTTTCTGTTGTTACATCAACAGAGAAGCTCCTGTGAATGGCAGGAAACTAAAACTGAAACTCACGCCATATACAGTTGGAATTTAAAGATAGGCCTGCTCTTTGCACATACACACTGCAGGAAGATGACAACGCAATGTATCGTGATTTATGTTTTACAACTAAAACTAATGCCTTTAATCGGGTGCTATAGCTCCCCCGAGGAAACTTGAGTATTTTCCCTCTTTTTTTTCAATTGGATTTAATATTTTATAAATTCTGATTATTTACATTTAACCTAAAAGCAGTGTAGTCGGTCATTATCTCATTTCACATCCTTTGAACAAGGAAATTTATATTTTTCTTTTTTTATTGCACATTTTGGTTCCTCCTAATTCCCTGTACTGAAAAAATGTTAGTGGTAGACTAATAATTTTTCTCTTTTCATTGAAAATACACTGAATCTTTTTTTTTTTTAATCAATTTTCAATGACAGTGTTGATAAATGCATAACTTTCTTTCTCTGGTCACACTAGCCTGGCCTTGAAAAGGATGAGATCAGATAGAAAGACTAGATGAGACTGCACAAACTGATGCAAAAAACAAGAATTCACTAAAAATGGCTAACAATAGGAAAAACAAATCATGTCAAATGTAGTAGAAAATTTAAATATGGCTAATTAATTTTATTCTATTGTAGAATTTGTGGTTTTATACTGTAATGTCAGAGAAATTTAAAAAACTAGTTTTCATTGAAGTGTGGGGATTTTCAGAAGGAGAGAAAAATGCTAATTTTGTCTTTTTTTGGAGTAAGCAATTACCTAAACAATGAAACCAGCATTTTAAAGGATAAAAACGTGAAAATAATAAAACATTTTTATTGTTTTAGAAGGGTTGAAAGTTGTTTTAAGTGATTTATTAATGTAAAAACATGTTATGATTGATGAAGATTTTGTGGGTACCTTTTTAACATCAAATGTGTTTGAAAGGTGTAAAAAATACTTTAAAGGAAAAGCTCCTAAAAAATGAAAACCACAAGCATCACTGAATAAATAAAAAAATGATCACCAAGGAGATATCCACCTATTTCTCTAAGCTTCAAACTTCATTTACAAGCGGGCTGTGACTCTGTGGTCTCCTAAACTTTTTGTGACTATCATAAACAATATTTATTTATGCTGTTAATTTGTTTGTCGTCTTACCAATGTGTGTTTATTGGAGATCTTACATTCTCAACCACTACACTATTTTTCCCTTTTATGTGTCATAGTCCTTAGAAAACAAAACCAATCTGGATTGACAGACCATACTTCAAAGAAAATCAGAAATTGGCACTGGCCAGGTAAAACCCAGTCTATGTCTTACAAATATTTATACATGTGATTTTTTTCTGAGAGTTCATGATCGTATTTTTCATCAGTTAGTTGCGCCGTCCTCCTTTGACTGCCGTCAGTGAAGAGTTCATCATGGCAACCGCTGCGGGACCTGACGTAGAAAAGCCGAGGCCGGGCCCCAGTGACCGTCTGATCGCTCTATTCAGGTTGGCGCTGCAACACAACAGTAACTCGCTCCTGTGGCAATGACTTATAGTTATCTTAGCAAATCAATATTTGTAAGCTGCAATGTTTTCTTTTTAAAACAATAGTTTTTGAACAAATAAGACAAGTTTTTTGTGAAAGCCACTGAATCTATGAAAATGCTTACTTTTTGTTCACTTTTAGAAATAATTTCTGACACATTTTCTCCTTCTCTTGTGAAAAATACATTGACTTTCAGGACCTGCTCCAGAGATCCCACACAGGGAATAGAAATTAGACTGAAAGACATGCTGCAAGAGTTTCTGCAGCACTGCAAGGATGATAAACATGACAACGCAAAAAGAGGTAGCCATAAAAGTCCCTTTTACTCCATTACTGGTTTACAGAACATTTTAATAACAAAATGCTTCCATTTAAACTGTCTGGTGTTTTCAGAGCTGGAGGAAAAGTGCTTCTCAGATGCCACAGTACAGTACTACACCATCTTAGAAAATCTTACTGCCTTTCAGGGGAGCTTGAAGTCTGGTGTCAGTGTCATCTCTGTGAGTCTGCTCTCCTCGTGTGGCCACACTAAGAACTACATTTTCCTTAGTCCCTTTGACAGATAGTGCGTAGCAGTGGTCCCACTGTGCTGCATATTTTAGATGTTAATTCCCCATTCATTTAAACCAGGTGTGCAGCAGCAGGGAAACACCTAAAACATGCAGGACCTTCAGCGTGTACTACTAATTTTGAATCCAAATTTTGATTTTGTTTTTGCTTCTCTCACATCTTTGGTTTGATGTGACATAATAGTTCTTTTGTTGTGATATCACACATGCAGGACGTCTTGGAGGATGACTTTTGGCAGCGCTGCCTGGTGGCCTGTTGCTTGCAGATCGCCCTGAAATCAACCTTTCGAGTCAGTGACGTCACTTTGCTCCTCAAAGTTTTCAAACTGGATTCCTACCTTTTCTTAGAGGTTTGATACACAAAACTCTCAAGACCTGCTATTAAATCTGAGTTACCTGCTTCAGCTTCTTTTTGTCCTGTGGTTTCACAGGTACATAACCAGTTCCTATTAAGATTCAGGAAGAGAAAATGCATGGACTTGATCAGATTCTTTAAGCCAATTGGGACAAAGGTTTTAGAGAGCGCCGTTTGGGCCAGCCACTCTCGCCTGTGGGAGAAAATCAAAGACAATGAAGGATTTCCACCTTTCAAAGACCAGGTTTGCCATTGCAAAAACAAAACGTTCACCTGTAAAATACTTTTATCTGTTTAGTTTTTATTGAAAAGACTTCAGTATTGCTTTATCCCAACTGGTTTCCAGTACCACACACAGCTGACGTCCCCAACAAATGTCGAAGGTCAGCCGGAATCGAACCCACAAGAAGGTACAAAGAGTGATAAACCTTCATTTTGCTTAAGTTTGTTGAAAAGGCTTAAAATACAATAAGTCATGTGCTAATTAGCAGATGTAATATTGGAAGCAGAGTCGTCCACGACCTCAGACCACCAGCGTTGCTCCTCAGCAGTAAGCAGACCCAAGGGGCAACCGTTCCTTCACCAGTTTGCCAGGATGGTGAGTTCTTACTCCCAGAACTTTGCACTGTTAAAATATTTGTTTTGTGCAGCTGTGCTTTGTCCTGTGATCAGGTTTACAGTGAGATGGGAGAACGTCTGAGGGAAATGTGTTTCAAACTACAAGTGTCTGATGAGTTGGGGTCAAAGATGTGGACCTGTTTGGAGAATTCGCTGGCCAGGCACTCTTCCCTCATGAAAGACCGCCACCTGGACCACCTGCTCATTAGCGCCATCTACATCATCGCAAAGGTGGGCTTTGATTTGTTAAGCCCTCCCATATCGTTTCCATGTTTCTCATACTTTTATATGTTGTTTTTTACTGCAAACTTTTTCTGATTTTGTTCTCTCAGCTCCGTTTCATCTGGTTGTTTTTGAAGACAAAATGTGTGTTAGGCTACAATATGTCAAGATGTCAAAAACTAATATCTGAGAATCACTGTTTTATGCAAAAATAGACATCACACCAGAAAAAGAACATGACTATAAAAATTCTGCCAGACAAGGTAGCAAAGTTTTGGAGAAGGATTTTAAACAGTCTTTCTTACATTGTTCGTTATGCGGAAGGTTGTTTAGCTGAAACAAACAAAAGAGTTAACTCTTATTCTCTCTGATAGAAGGACTTAGTTAAAATCATTGGGTTAAAAATGAAGGAAAGTTTGCTAATGGTAATAAATTTAAAAGATCGTGTGTTGAGAAAGTGTGTGTTTACAATTGTAATACCAAATTCAGAAAGTATGTGGACACAAAAAATCATCCTGAGTGATGTGAAACTATGTTGTTTATGAAATCACCAATTCAGTTTCTAGTTTTTCTTGTTGTTTGCTTTTGCAGGCTACCAAGAACAAGCTAACGTTTGAGGAGATAGTAAAGAGCTACAAGACTGAGCCATATTCCAATGAAAGTGTAAGTGCTGTTTTTCTGACTTAAGTTATAATAAATACAGTTAAATGATCTAAGTGTTGGGAGTTTTTCACCATCTTTACTGTCATTGGCTCAGTATACGTAATCATTATTTGACTTGAACATGTATTGATTGGTTTTCACCCTCAGGTTTCCAAAGAGATGCTGAACTCAGAGTCACCTTTGGAAAATCTTCCCAAAGAGATGATGGGTATGATTTCTGTCTCTTCAAATTATTTTTTTATAGAAGTATTAACTTGTGACTTCACCCAGTAATATTTTGTTTGTGTTTTACCCATTAGCAAAGCTGCTATAAAGTTGTTGCAGAATAACAAAAACAATGTCGTAGCAGTTTAAATTAACTATCATAGAAGTGTAACTTCAGATTTTAGTTTTCCTCTTTCTATGCATATTAATTTAATCTCTTGTTGTAACTAAAGTCTTGTGGAAGCCTCAGATGTTTCTTTGAGACTTGATTTCTTTTATTACTTTGTTGCTGACAGATCTTGGAACCCATAGAGCTGCTTTTCCGACACCAGAAGAAAACTCAGCGGAGGACAAGAGAGGCAGCCTCATCAATTTCTACCACCTCTACAGCTTGAAACTGCAGCCGTTTGCTGAGAAGTTTGCCCAAACCTATGGGGTATGTTAGTTGTTTTCTAACTAAGAAATCAAATAAAAACAATAATGCAAACAGTGTGAAATACTGTATTTATTTTCTTCTGCAGGGAGAGACTCCTCCCATATCTCCAATGCCGCCACCGCTGTCGAGAGAAAGTTATCACCCAACAAAGGGTGTTAACTTCACCGTCTCACCGTTAAACAGACAAGATGTCCCTCGACATGCTTCCAAACGCACCTATAACATTGGCAAAAGCCCCAGAGAGGTCACTTTTATTGAACTTTACTCCACTGGACATACATGTTCACCTTTTTATCCTCTTTATACCGGATCACATCATAATAAAATTCCTATTTCTGTCCACAGGACCTGCGTAAGATCTCCAACATTGTAACCAGCAAACGTGCGCTGTCGTTTAAAACTGAGGAAGAAGATGGGCCTTCATCCAAGCAAAGTTGCTTGGAAAATCCGTCAGTTCTGCAGAGTCGGCTGATAAATGTGCAAAAAGATCGGTCAGTGGCACAGAACCAGAACAACCAGAACCACTCTGACAGTACAACCTGTAAAACGCAATAAGTGAAATTTACTTAAAAATGCATGCAAACCCCTTGCCTCAAAAAATAAACAAGTTTCCAAAACTTAAAAATGTCAGTATGTGCAAGTTGTACATCTTAAGTTTACACAACTCAACTAATTTGATTGTTTTGAGTGAATTGTATTGACATAAATGTACACATAACTCATTGTAAAACCCTATTAATTATTTTTATTTGAAAATATGTGCAAAAGTAACTGATTAACATTAACTTGTGCAATTTTAGTGAGTGTAACTTAAGTTAACTATAAATCTATGCTGTGATTATTTAAAAGATACATTTTTTGAAGTCGAAACTCCTCATAGAAAAGAAAACTACTAAGTTGAAGCAGTTCCTGCTTTACATCTGTTATTGTGAACTTACATTTGATTAAAAAAAGATGAGACCAACAAACCGACTGGTAGAATATTTCAATTTGAACCCATGCATATTTTTATAAATCTTTTTTCAGAAAAATATGCTTTCTAACCCAAATGCATAAAAGCTATTTCACTAAGCAATATGTTGCAATTGTAACATAAAGGAATTTGAACTTTTTGTACTTAGAGCTTGTAGAAGTTAGCCAGGGTCAGATATTTTCTTTTGAAAGTTTTTACTACTTCTATGATATTTTCAATATTAGTAACTTTTAAGTGTTTAATTTATTTTATATATTCAGCAAGTGAACACTTTCTCCTCAAAGCTGATGTGTTCACACAGGGGGGGGAGTGGGTGCTGGGTTTAAAGCTTTAGTGGGACGTCTCCAGTCTGCAGTATTCCAAGGAAGGAACAGTTCTTACTGGGGCATGTCCCTGCCGTCTTCTTTTAGCAGGATGATACATCCTACAACAAAACAAAAATTGTTAAAGAACTCCCCAGATTTCCATCTAGTTCATGCATGAGGAATGTTGCCCATTTATCTCTATTGTATCAGTATTTTGCATTATGTCATAACTGACTAACAATCTGAAGCGTTATCTTTACAGCACTCTATTTTTAACTTTCGTACTTGTGCCTTTGTTCTGATCTGAATGTAATTTGTTTTATTACCATTTGCTTTGTGTTCACTCCACTGTTTATTCACATGCAATACAAGTGAAAACACAATGTTTATTATTTCCATTTGCCATGATGAACAGCTGCAAAAAAGAGAGCTTTGTTTTTCTATGTCCAGAAATTCCAGTATTTATTTAAATAATTGCATATTGAGCCGTATGAAAATATTAAGATCAGATGGTTTATGGACTGAATTTAAATGGCGCCTTTCAAGTTATTCTAACCCCTCAAAGCACTGTATGCATTACAGTCCAAATATCACAACTAATCTCAACGAACATCAGCCAAGAAGAGTCACTGTAACTATTAAAGGCCTGTCAGAAGTAGTGGTCAAGTCTAGGTGTTGTAGTTTTTAAACTAGAGTCAATTAAAGATGTGGAAGGTAGTGAAAAATTAGGTGGAATCTAACCATTTCCTGAATCGGAAGCTGGAATTGGAAACCGACTTCGGCTTCGTGAAAGTCATTAACTAAGGCTGTGACTGCAAGGGCTTATCAGTAGTCATTGTTTGGCAAGCTTTATTGTTAATTCTTAACCAATATTGCTAAGGAGGTGATTATAAAATGGCTGTATAATCCTGCAGACAACGGCTTGTAAAATAAATCTAAGACACGGTTAAGTTACCAAACACAACAACTCTCCAGGAAGCACCTGAGCCTGCAACACCCAGAGATTTTAAGGTGATGGCCTTTATCTTGAAGCTTCAGTGATCTCATCAGCTAAACAGCTCTGTGTGCTTAATGTGTATCAGTCAAACAGGTTGAAATACAAGCAAAGACACAGCAGTGGTGGATCTCTGAAATGCTGAAAGATAAACCGAACACTAACATCTGGAGAAAAAGCAGATAAAAAGACAGAGTTTTAACTAGATATCCCCGTCTTAATCATCTTTCCAAGTGAAACTTATTTTGATTTTTTCTTAGATTCTCAGATCTTATGGCACAATATACTTACTACAATATATGTCTTTTTATTCTCTTTTTACACGGATATAGTGCTACATAAAGCAAGCGATTTATGGCCATTGCATAGGGGTCACTTTGATCGGGTCACCTCTGTAACTGGAAAGCCACGTCTCCGAGGCTGTTTGACAAATGGGTTGCATGGTGACTGAGATGGAGTCTGTGGTGTCGGTGATGGTGTGTGCACAGATGGTGTGTGCACAGTGGTGTGTGCTAAGAGTGAAGGAAGGCCTGTCGGCAAGAGGATGCAACGCTGCACTACTGCCCATCAACCCGTGTCACCAGGATCAGCTCTGCAAAGCGGCGCATTAACATTAACAAAAATATTAGCATTTAACTGCCACGCATTGGTGAATTAGCATTAGCTTTTTCCCTGTGATAACCATTTTATCTATTTTTTTTTTTTATTGATTAACTATGTTTAGCACACTGAATGGAGGAAGTCAATGTAAAACAACATGCTAGTGATACCCCACATTCTACTGGCAACACTTAGCAATAGCATTTTGGCAAATTTTAGCTTATGCACTATTGTTAACAAACTGAATGGTGTAAGTCCATGTTACTCAACATGCTTGTGGGTCTCCATATGCTATTGAGTACATAGTAGCATAGTAGCATTGATGCTAATTTTTAGCTTCTGAACTCTAGGTTCCATTCGACAGGCACACTTTGGCAGCCCCCCTTAAATTTCTCCAGATATTTTCCAGTTTGCCTCTCTGATACATGCTGTTCTTGTTTGGGTTGCCAGGTTAGATGTATGTCACTTCCTGGTAAGTTGTGCCAGGAAGTGACATCAGGTCATTAATAAGCAGTGCTTCAGGAAATGTTCAGATTTCTTCCTGATCCTTTCTGCTGTGTTCCTCGATCCTCTCGATGCTGTTTGTTCAGCAGAGTTCAGGCCTATGCTGTCTACAAAGTACTCAGGTGGAGGACAAATATTGTATTGTTTTTTGAAATGATTTGTTGCAATGGATTTTATTCAAATGTGTATCAATATAAAGGGGGCTGAATGCAATTGCAAATCAAACATTTAAGATTTTTTGTTTGTAAAGAAAAAATATTTATTTCTATTCCTTTAATTTTCCAGTGATGTACTACATTTTGTTGGTCTGTACATGGTCTGTACATGTAAACCAATTAGGATCAGTTGACGTTTGTGAATATAACATAAGCAAATTGCAAGAGTGTTTTGCAAGGCCCGGTTTATCAGCCTTAGATATTTCCATGCCCTCTTTCATGCTCTGCATCTTCTGTCTTTGTTTTCACAGCCATTCATGAGATCATTCTTTCCTCCCCCACAGTTCTCCTTATGCACACCTCTGGTCAGGACCGATAGTTACAACACATTCTTTCAAACATTTCCAAATGTGCTACAGGCTAAAGCAGTAACCCTTTAAGAAACTCGGCTTATGTTTCAGCTCTGGGAATCCTTGCAGCTTTCAACTATGCAGCTCGCTTTGCATATCAGACTTCTGGTGTCTGTTGCTTGGACAGTCAGAAACTGTGGAAACCTTACACAGCAAATGAACGTCTGCCAAGATGTGGGTTAAATCGATTCTCTGACACGTTGCTGTTCTTGCCACCAGGGGGCAGGAAGCCCCACTTGGTCGGTTCTTAAAGTCGCCACCAGGGAGCAGAAGTGATCTTCCCACAGAGCACTGAGAAATATGGGACTGGCTCCATTTGCTGAAGACATTTAATCTGAAATATAGGTTGTAAGTTTATTACCAGCCAGTGAATGGAGCTGGAATGGAATAGCCATTTTACAAAGCCATATCAAAAAAACCCATCTCTGAGGCAGCGGGAAATTACATGAAAATATTACCATTATACAAATGGAAACTGTGATTGAATAATGTGCTGGAGAAGATAAATGAAAAGCACTTTGTTGGAAAATGTGCTGCTAAATAGGTTTTTAATTTCAGTGGTGGGATAAAAGAAGCAGAGTTTTTACCCCATTTCACTGCCAATTGATTAGTGGTTCCACACCTGCAGGTAGAGAGGGGCCTTATCGTCTCATTATCAGTTAATTAATATGCATGAACACATGCCAATTATCTTTCCTCTGCCATTTAGCAGAAATAAGACATTGATGTTTTAATGGTGCTGGAATGGATAAGTCTTCTGTTGCTTTGAAGACAAGGCAGGCGCATTGACTGACACAGCTGAGAAATGTTGAGAGACAATTGAATTAAAAGCAACCTGAAACAACCTTGATAATTATATTAATACTTCTCAGCAGCTGAGGTATTTTATGCTGTTTTGCAAGGGCTTTAAAGCTCTGATCCACAAGAGTTCTTCATTAACACTCGTGAAACATATAAAAAGGGCAAAGCAATTGGTGGAGTGAATGTGCCTGTATATAAATATATATAATGAGAAGTCATTATGGAAACATTTTATTTGAAGGACAAGCAGAATCACATTTTTCCACTGTTCCATGACACTGTTCCAAAGGAGCCAAGGCCACAGCAAGTGAAGCAAACCCAAGATGAAAGTTACATTAATCATTATTCAGTTCGCCGTCCTGTGTCCACTGAATTTATGTCCATGAGTCAAAGGACAGTGTTATGTGCCAGTGAAATAGGCAATATTATGGAAGGAAGCTCTATTGACATTTTTCATTTCTGCATAAATGTGGCTGGTTGCACACTGTGCCCAAGGCTGTTGGGTATAATACACACACACACAAATGCACATGCTACATATAGATACACAGCTGTGCAAAAGTATTGAGTCATCCTTATTTACTCATGGTTTGAGTCTAAATCCTTATTTGTTTGAGTAAATAAAAAATTTTGTTGTGAAACCTCAGACATTGACCAATCAGGCTTTTTGAAATATAAGGTATGATTGAAGTAGGAGTTTCCTTTTCTATGGCCTATAACACATACAAGAGAAAACAATGCCGAATTTATTTATAAAGTTATTTGTGCTCTGTTTCACTCAACAGATAATGAAAGACTTGCAACATTATCTCTGTTTACCCCTTAAACCTTGCGTTCCAAAACTTTGTTTTTACCTTATTAAACTCTACAAATGTGTACCAAATACTAAATACAAAACATTTAGTTCAGATTTTCTGTGACGGTAATATTAGTAACAGTTTTGGGACTTGTCAAAAAAAAACATATCAACATAAGCTTTTTGAAGAAGTAAATGAATCCTAAATGTGTGAGAGGTTCACAACTAGTTAGCTCATCTATTTTAGCTGAAGTTAAAATAATGGGTTTTAATAGTCTTCAATTTCACAAAGACTGTGTGACATTTAATGTTTTTTCTCTGAGCAGAACAAGATCTATGTTTCCATGTGAAGTTACACTGATAAATATGAGCCTATCGACTTTTACAATCCATCAAATTCACTTCAAATTAAACTTTCAGTTCTCTTCCAACCCCATCAAGAACTTTTAGATTTGGATATCAGACATTGAACTCTATCCAGGTTGGTTTGTTCATGTGCTGATGAAGTGGACTGATAGAGCTTATAAAACATATATGTTGTAGTTTGTTAGTCTTTTACCACCTCAAGTATGAATTTAATTTTATAGCAAGCTCATAGTAATATGACATTTTGCATCTTGTAAATACTTTTGCATGAATTCCATGTCATTACTCAGATTATGTAGATTTAGCAAAAGGTTATTTCACATCTCTGATGTTACAGTCACAATAAAAATATATCAGAAAGAATCAACAAACAGCAACACACTGCATAAATACAAGATCCAAATATAAAAATCAATGTTTAAACATTGAACTATAAAAAAAATAATACAGTAAAAATGTAAGTTATTTAGATGAATTACCATTCCTATATAAAAAGCTTCAATCATTTATAGAAATATTGATCAAAAAACAAAGCAGAAATGCCCTCACAATCTAGAATCTAGATCATGATTATTATTTTTCATTTAATTGCAACCTGTGTTAGATTGATACAAAGTAAAAAGAATACAGTATCATCTTCATACATCTGATTATTGCAGTTAGAAAAGGGCGAGGGCAGCTCCTTGTGGGCCGCTCCTCCTCTATGTTGTCTCTTTATAGTAAGCATTCAGTTCGGTTAAGTTTTCA